CTCTCTCTCTCCCTGTACCTTTCTGCAGGTTGCCCTGGCCCTGGAGCTCTATGTCTCTGACGAGCAGTCACCGGCCACATCGACCTGATCAGTGTTTGATTGTTGTGTCTTGTTGCTTTTCTTCTTTTGTCTCTCCTCTATCCACTCACCCCAACCGGTCGAGGCAGAAGGCCGCCCACCAAGAGCCGGGGTCTGTCGGAGGTTTCTTCCGTTAAAGGGAGTTTTTCCTCCCCACTGTCGCCAAGTGCTTGCTCAAGGGGGATTTGTTGGGTTTTCCCTATGTAATAATATTGATAACAGTAAGGTCTAGACCTTACTTTGTAAAGTGTCCTGAGATGACTTTTGTTGTGATTTGATTTGAATTTGATTTGATTTGATATATGCGTATTTGCTTGCTTTATTTAACTACACTAAGTGAAGCCAGATGTAATGTCGATGTCACAGTGAGAGCCACTAATATGTCGACTACACTCACTGTTAACCTGCTGTATGTGCTCTTACATGTGTGAGAAATGAATTATTTCTATGACGTCACCTGCTGTTAACAAGGCAACATAAATATAGTTCCACTATTAGGAATTTTATGCAAACAATAAAGGATCCTTTTCAAGATAATTACATCTTAAAAAAAAACTAAGAAACCAAATAACTAGTCCTGCTACTGTATATTTTAGTGAGGATGGGAGGGTTTATTTGTTTTCGTTATAATTTCTTTCGTTATATATGCTTTGTTGTAATACTGTCAACATGTCGCAATTATGATAAAAATACATAAACTGTGACTCAAATTAAGTTGCTTTAACTTGTGAGTTAACAGGAACTTTGTGGTAAAGCATGTTTTCTCCAGCTAACATTATTTAAGTTGCCAGTGTCCTTTTGTTTCCTATCCCCTACTGTTACATTTTTTATGGGAAAGGCCCCCCCTCCCTTACATCGTTCTCCAGGAAGTTGAACATGCTCCTCTCAGCCAGCTCTCTGCTCTCCTCAAACTTCTCCACAGCCTGCCGGATCTCCTCATCGGGGATTTTCCCCTGACGTTTCTTCTTATAGTCAAAGTCTAACCGGCGGCCCTCCAGCTTCTTCAGGTGGTGCTGCAAGCAGAAACCACAAGTCAATTCTGGAGGTTCCAATCCCAACAAGTTCTGGTTAGGCTTTGATGTGACTCAAAGCATGTGGTGTTTATGGCATTAAAGGTTTATTCATAATGAAAGTGAGCTCTTTGGTCAATGTGAGCATTAGTATGATAAAATAGAGATTCAGTTTTTAAATATACTATACACTGTAATGCCTCAGCATTATCTGCACACTGTAGCTCTAGGAGGCTAACGTTAGCTTACTTGTGTATTTTGTCGATCCAGTGTTATGCTATGAATAACAATTTTATCATTAGTGGTTAAAGGTATTAACTTCAAGGACACCTGGCTTGGATTGAGTATAATCTCTGACTTATTTCACCTTTTGATACAGGAGGAAAATGCAGCTCTGCAAACATACACACGCATCAGCAAGCTCTCAGCAAAAGGCCTCAATCTGCACTGCCAATTTAATTCATTTAATCATCTGTTTATTCGTCCTGCAACAGAGAAAATTTACACACACACACACACACACCCGTGGCAAGGTGCAGTAATAATATTAGTTTGCAGGATAGAACAGCCAGGATAACCTAAGTTTGTTTTCTAGTCAAATGAAATGTTTTCTATTAAAATAGTAGGAGGGCAATAGAACAAAGACATCACTCTATTATTTTAAACTCAACTAAGCTTCACTACAGCATGTCCTAGTGTATGTAACATAGAACCCCGATTTCCATGCTGTGCACTTGGACAATCTGTATATATTTCACCACTCATAATTCATCTAAACATTTAAAATCTAGCATTATTGCCTTCATCCAAAGTTTGAGGCGCTTTGGCTCATGTAATGGGAAAGTGTAAGATGACCTTTTAATATTCCGAGCCTTATTTTTCTTAGATTAACTTGAACAGCCTGGAACAGAAAAGTAATTTCCCCTATATTTAATTTTACATCCAATAAAATGTGGTGTTGCTCAGAGATATTTGCTATAATCTCTACACCAGAACCCATGTGGGCGCAAGGCATTATGGGATATCAGACTAGGGCAAATAGAATGTTTTTGTTTGTTTTTAACAACGCATGACTAAACACATCTGCAGTGACACTGCAAACACAGTACGGTATATACTGTATATATACTGCCCTATACTTACAGACTGACTTAGAGACTAATATAGGCCAATACAACCTCACACATCCTGCACATGCAGGAAAGGCTCTTTATTCAAGTTTATTCCTTGAGCACAAAGCCAAACATCAAACTGTGCAGGTGCTTTTACTTCTAACATGTTTACTGCTGTCCAAACTAACTCTGCTGTGTTTTCTCATGTGGTTCAGTTTTATCTGGGCTGCTTTGAAAGCTGTCATTCTAACTCTGGTGCAGACTGAAGAACCGCACAGAGCTGTCTTGGTCCAAGTGGACTATGGAAGCAAAGTACTCTGTGATTGGAGATACTGCATTTTTAGCAGGATTTTTAAAGCTAAACAACCTTTAATTTCATCTGCTGACCTGTGAACTGTTGATAAAGTGTTCTCCTAAGCCAGTGATTCCCAAACTGTGGCTCCACCTGGTGGTACACCATAGCCATGCTGAAAGGTCTAAGTCCTAAAATCAACAACTTGTCATTTAATTTTATTACAACAGTTACTACATAAACATATCACTTTACAATGATGTAAAAATGTGTTGACAATCACTTGAATAAGTTGTTGTGTGAGAGCCATGGACAACACTGTGTGTTTTGTGGAGTGTGGAGCACGCATATGTTGATGCCGCACTGTCCATATTAGTGAAGCGGAGCAGAGGAGATCGATAGACAGACAGAGCATGTCTGCCTGGTTTCTTAGTGTGGTTGCTGTTCATGGTTGTTGGTGTAACATTGGGCCCTAATTCCATTCCCCCACTGCTACAACCCACAGGCACGAGGGAAATGACAGCAACAGTCAACGACAAAACATGGCGCCCACTGAGGCGAACGTGTTTGCCCGCTCCACTCTTGAATGCCGGTTTTTTCTTCGTTTTCTTCTTTTTTTGTGTGTTTTATGCTTTTTCTGCAGTGCACAAATGTCATGCACTGCTTACATACAACAGACAGGCATTGCTGGATATCGCCAACTCACAAAGCCACTGGGAATTTACTGGTTTCATACCACCGGAGCTACAACAGGGCCAACAGGGCCACCACAGACGCCATCGCGGCTGCACTCCACTATTCCCTTTCTCATCTGGAAAATGGAGACTCCTACATCAGGATACTCTTCATTGACTACAGCTCCGCCACCAACTCACCCACAAACTGTTCACACTAGGTCTGCACCCCACCCTCTGTGACTGGCTCCTGGACTTTCTGACTGGCAGGCCCCAGACTGTCAGGATTGGCAATAGAACTTCAGCCAGCATTGTTACAAACACCGGCACCCCACAAGGATGTGTCCTCAGTCCCATCCTCTACACCCTGTTCACCCACGACTGTGTCGCCTCCCACAAAGACAACATCATCCTGAAGTTTGCGGACGACACCGCAGTGATTGGTCGCATCACTGGTGGGGACGAAGCAGCCTACAGGAGGGAGGGGGCCGGGCTGGGGTCATGATGCAAGGACA